AAGGAAATCGTGGCTTGGGCAGATCGATCAAACCTATCGTGAGGAGCTAGAGATGGGCCGGGCCCCTCGTAGGCGGAAGCGAAGGGTGGATGCGGCTATGCGCCCCCGCCGGCGTTAGCTTCCCAATGAATGAATGACGCACACAAGCACACACACGTGCACATGCGCACACACACACACGGCGATCGGTTTACGCAGGATAGATATATCTGACATGTGTGTGTGTGTATTTGTGCATATATATATTTATATATATACATATATACTTATATATATATATGTGTGTGTGTGTGTGTGTGTGTGTGTGTGTGTGTGTGTGTGTGTGTGTGTGTGTGTGTGTGTGTGTGTGTGTGTGTGTGAGTGTGTGTGTGTGTGTATCTATATATATTTGTGTACATGTATACTTATATACATATATATATATATATATATATATATATATATATATATATATATATATATATGTATATATATATATATATATATATATATATATATATACATATATATACTTATTATATATACATATATATACTTATTATATATACATATATATACTTATATAAATATATATATATATATATATATACATATATGTCTGTGTATGTTTGTACATATATATAATGTATGTATACACACTCATATATATATATATATATATATATATATATATATATATATATATATATATATATATATATAGCATTACTCCTGGATGTGAGTATAATCGGCATCCGCTAGATGGGTTCTGGTCCTGGGCAGTATGGAGCCACCTCTTCGCCACTATTGCTCCCAGGTCCACTTCGAGTCCCATCTATAGGATAAATAGAATAAAGTTTTGTCTCCCTTAAAAAAGTGATTACTTTACTGATGATTTTTTCTTTATCTGATAATATATTTGATAGCGTGAAATCTTTATCTTGCTGTCGGAAATAGTTTTTGTCTGGGGTTGTTGTCTATATTGCATATTGTAATGACATGATTCAGGGTAAGGTTGGTCTTGCAGAGGGGACATTGAGGAGGGATTTTTTTTCAATATAGAGTGAGGTGGGTGAGTCTTGTAGCGTTGACCCTAAGGCGGGCCAACACCACCTCCTCCCTTCTGCCTTTCCTGTGAGATGCGTCCCACAGTTCTATAGTGTGCTTGAATTTGTTTGTGAGTTGGAGGCTGGTCCACTCACTTTGCCACAGGAGATGTATTTTTGTTTTTATAAGAGACACAAAACTCCTGAGATCTGTACGAACTATGGTAGTGTCCTGATCGCCAGTTGACCCGGCTAATTTGTCAGCCTGTTCATGCCATGGATACCAGAGTGGCCTGGTACCCATATTAGCTTGATTGATTTGTTGGTACCATGTAACATACGAATGATATTACCCAGAAGTTCATTTTTTGTGGTTTCTAAGGATTTAATAGCTTTAAGTGAACTTAATGAATCTGAAAAAATAACTATTCTATCGGGGGTCGTCGAGAGTGCAAAATCGATGGCTTTATCAATGGCAAAAATTCAGCAAGGAAAATCGATGTATGATTCGGCAGTTCACATTCTGTCGACCATACACCTGTACCCACACATTCATTTGTCTTGGAGCCGTCGGTATATATATGAAAAAAATTGAGATGTTTATTAAGGATCTCTCTGAACCTAGCACCTGCACACCTACCTGCTTTGAAACAGAGCCCAGAAGATGCCAGAGTTCCGCGCGATGGTATCTTGGTCGGACATGAGAGTAAGGTAGTTGCCCTCACCCGCCCAGAAGAGGGCCGCCCCGATGCCTACAAGAACCGAAGTTAGGTACTCCACCTCCGGCGCCATGGACTTGGCTGATGGAAGCCAGGCTTCCATGATAGAAAAATTAGGGGTTTCCCATATTTGAATGAACCATGGTATCGATAGTAGAGAGATCTATACCGACTTTCTCGACGAGGTCGTGGAGTCTCGTAGCAAAGGGTCTAGTGCCTCCATTGCCATTAGGGTGGCTCGGGTCTCGGGCCACCTTTGCGGCATAGGTCAGTGCTAACTGGCCGCGTTTGAGTCGGAGGGGAGGTACTCCTGACTCCACCTCAAGACGCTCGATCCGAGTGCATTTTAGGGCTCCAACACACACACGCAAACAAGCATTCTGCACAGCATCCAAACCTTTCAATCTTGTTCTCGATGCCGAACCATACACGATTGACTCATAATGTACTTTAGACCTAATCAGGGCTTTATATATCATTAGCAAATACTATCTATCAGCTCCACATTTATTAACAGAAATGCACTTTGATAAATTTAGTGCTCTTCGACATTTATTCTTTAACTGACCAATGTGTTTTTTCCAATTGAGTCTACTATCAAAACGTAGCCCAAGAAATTTAGCACAATATTGAATAGGTATTGGGTGGTGGTCTAGAGTTAGCCTGAGGTTCGGCTTCCTCCTATGTGAAAAAATTACCCCAATACTCTTTCTAATGGAAAACTTAAAACCCCACTGGAGGCCTCAGTTATGAATCATATCCAGTGCCAATTGGATGCGATTTGCCGAGAATTCTGCATTATTGCTGAAATGCCATAATGCACAATCATCAGCGTACAGTGAGCATTTAAGAATCCGAGGTGGTAAGATGTCATTAATCATACATAAAAATAATGTTTGCGACAAGACACTTACTTGTGGGACCCCGTTTGCCTGGACAAAAATGTTCGAAAAAGTGACATTGTCCGAAAATAATTTGACAGAAAAAGGTCTGTCAGAAATGAAATTTTGAATAAAGCAAGGCAAGTTTCCACGTAATCCAAACTTTTCCTTGACTTTTGGAAAGAGTCTTTTGCATTATTTCCCTGCTAATTCAAGGAATGAGGAAATCAGGGTCGGTCACTAGGGCCTACTGATAGACTCCTTGCTTGTTGAGCACATGTGGAGCCATCTGTATATAACAAAATTCACAAATCATAAATCCATGGTGGTAGGGATAGTAAAGGATCATGGAGAAAACCTGTCGTGTATATAGATATGTAAATATATATGTATATATATATCTATATGTATATATATGTATATAAATAAATATGTATATGTATATATATATATATATATATATATATATATATATATATATATATATATATATAATGTGTGTGTGTATGTATATATATATACATATATATAATGTGTGTGTGTGTATACACACATATACATACATATTTATATATACATACATACATACACACACACACACACACACACACACACACACACACACACACACACACACACACACACATATATATATATATATATATATATATATATATATATATATATATACATATATATACATATATATACATATACATACATACACACACACACATATATATATATATATATATATATATATATATATATATATATATATATATATATATATATATATATATGCTATTATACCGGTGCTTACTTACAGCTGCATCGACTGAGAGTAGCGGCAGGCCGCGAACTCAGGATCTCAGTGCGTTACGTTCCTCAAGGGCGCCTTGAGGAAATCTAATAATTTTTTTAGATTTTTTTGTTATTGTAGGGATATCCAACCTTTTTTTCATTTTTCATCTAGAAACACATATTACTTGTGTGTGTGTGTGTGCGTGAGTGGAAATGGTTATAATTATCCTTGATGTATGTATTTCTGACGAAAATGTATTCAAAGCCATTTATATAAATTCATACTTTTTCTACATTTGTCGCAATGAATACGATTCATGTATATATATATATATATATATATATATATATATATATATATATATATATATATATATATATATATATATAATTTATATATACATATTTATATATATATATATATATATATATATATATATATATATATATATACATATATTATATATATATGTATATATATACACATACATATATACACATATATATGTATACACACATGTGTGTATGTGTGTTTAGATATGTATACATATACATATTTATAAACATACATATGTATGTATATATATACATATATCTAGAGGAGAGAGATAGAGATCGGAGCTAGAGAAGCCTAAGTTACCTTCATTTAATTTTGAATTTCAGAATATTCATCGCATGTTTCCTTTGGCCTCAGACGTGGCTCCTATACCTGACCTCGGTTCTTGTAGGCATCGGGGCGGCCCTCTTCTGGGCGGGTGAGGGCAACTACCTTACTCTCATGTCCGACCAAGATACCATCGCGCGGAACTCTGGCATCTTCTGGGCTCTGTTTCAAAGCAGGTAGGTGTGCAGGTGCTAGGGTGTTTCGATAATAGCAGATTGCCCAGACTGTTGACAGTATATGTTTTTTAATTGCAAAAAATATTATCATTTATTTATGTTCTTTTTTTAAATAATTGTGTGAGGTTGTTCTTTTGATTTGTGGCTATTATTCTTCACTAGTGTGGGTTTACGAAACCTACATTTTGTGTATGGTAGTGTGGAGCATCTAGACATTAAAGAGACCGATCTTGATCATCATTTCCATCAATTCATTTCAAAAGAATTACTTTGAAAATGCATATAAAAGGAACTTATTTAAGCTTAATAGAATGAATATGCAAAACATTACCTAAAGTCACACACCTTACCAGTCGAAATATGAGATTTAAGTGAAAAGAAATAGTGGGATAAAATGTTAAATAATCAAATCAACAGTTTAACATAGGTGGTACCTATACATTTCAATTTATAAGTGAAAACAATAAGGAAAAAAGGGATCACGTCTAGTTCCCCAGAAGAATGTAATAAATCAGGACTCGTAACAGCTTTTCTTTCAGTTCAGAAGTGTAGCCGCATTCCGACGTTCCAAGTTACACAGGCCAAGAGTGGGTATATGTCGCTGCATTTCCTTACTTGTTGGAACTATTGGGTATTGGTCATCAGCATATGATGTTACACAGGTCAAGACTGGGTATATGTCGCGTTGTTTCCTTATTTGTTGTAACTATTGGGTATCGGCCATCAGCATATGGGAATGGTAACACAGCCAGCCAGCCAGTGGATCCAATTCATTATATCTAACTTTCCTGTGAACTGTGTCGCACTGCTCTATTGCTGGCTTGACTTTGTCAATTGGAGTTTGTCCACCTACTAAATTTTCCTTATGAGATGGATTTCTTTGCTTTCATAAAGGAGATAACATTCCCGAGGTGTGACCATATAGCTAATTCGTCAACCTGCTCGTTGCCATGAATACGAGAGTGACCTGGTACCCATATTAACTTCATTGACTTGTTGGCACCATGTAGCTTGCAAATCATATTATCTAGTAATTATTTGTATAGTTTCTAATGATTTGGTGTCTTTAAGTGAAATTAATGAATCATAAAAATACTATTCTAACATGAGTTGTTGACAGTTTTGTTAATTGAAAAAATATTCGCCCAAAAAGATCTGTGCCTGATAATATTAATTATTATGAATTAGTATTATTCCATTTGTTACAATGATTATTCTTGGTGTGACAGGCTGTTACATTTTTGTTTTTATGGGGATTTCTTAATGAGCCATAATTCCAAAAGCATATAGATTTTTGAGTAGACCATATCACAATGTCATTTTGTAGGCTTTTTCTATCTAAGAATTCTGATTTTTTTTGGCAAGTGCCTTATGAATGTAATTGTCCAGTTGAAGAGACTACACTGCTCATCGTCTAAAAAAAATCTGGAATTTATAAAAGGCAATAGCTTACTGGTAACAGCTCACTCCATGATCTTGCAGAAGCAATTTGTCAACGAGGTTGGGTTGGATTTGTGCGTCGTGTGTGTTTGCGTGTGTTCTCAGCGCCAATCTTTTCTGTGCGCAGCCTCCTCTTCGGAAACATCTTCGTGTACTACATGTTCATGGGGAAGGACACCATCGACAGCGGGACGCGCCTCGTGGTGTTCGCGGCGCTGACGGGGGTGGCGCTGGTCGGCCTGGCGATCCTGCTGGCGCTGCCCAAGCCCGGCGCCGACGGGAGCGGCCGCCAGGACGACATGGGAGGGCCGCTCAACGCCCTCAAGAAATCCTTCGAGCTCTTCAAGACGCGAGACATGATCCTGCTGTCGGTGACTTTCTTCTACACGGGTGAGGAATTGTTGCTAACAGTCTATCAGTTGAATTTACTAATATGAATATAACCATTTGTGTGTGTGGATATGTCTGAAAAACAAAGCTGTCATTCATTTACCTGTCGGTTCGTTTATCCGTCAACTCACTCGTTCATTTCTTAAACAGGTCTAGCCCTGTCCTTCTTCAGCGGCGTCTACAGCACCTGCGTTGGCTCCACACTAAGGTTTAGCGATCCCGCCCGCCTCGTTGGTATATCTGGCATGTGTCTCGGTATCGGAGAAATATCAGGTGACATCACTATACATATTTAATGGTTTGAATATTATTGTTTTTGTATTTATAATTTAGGGTTCAATGGTGGTGTCTTTGTAATACACAAATATGCAGCTATGTGTTTGTACATATAGAAATATATACTGTGTGTGTGTGTGTGTGTGTGTGTGTGTGTGTGTGTGTGTGTGTGTGTGTGTGTGTGTGTGTGTGTGTGTGTGTGTGTGTGTGTGTGTGTGTGTGTGTGTGTGCGTGTGTGTGTGTGTGTATCACCCTCAGTAAAAGCGGCCACACCATGTACTATAGAGGCGGCAACACTTACCACAGCGGAGTCGGTTTCCTGGTACACGAGAACATCTCCGGAAATGTCACTTGCCGATGGGCACAACTAACCATCAAGATCAACGACAAATACTAGCTTAGCATTATTCAGACTGAAGAATTTCACTATCGAACAGATTCGAGGTATTAGCAACATCAGATGACTTCAACCTTCACTTGAGCAACCTCATGACCGCCCTCTTGGCTGCAGCAGTAGAGCCAGCTGGGCAAAGCAAACCGCCAAACCCAGACTAGCTGTCCACGGAAACAAAGCTGCTCAAGGAAAAGCGACAATAGAGGAAATGAGGAGGAACAAAAGTGATTGAATAAGCTGAGGTCTGCAAAACTATAAGATGTTGCATGAAGGAAGGAATTCCTAAAAATAACGAGGAGGAACAACTCAAAGCTCTGGCACAAAACAGAGGTCTGGACTCCATCAAAAAGAAGCAGTGCCTGGCCAGGAATAACATCGCCCTCAAGGACGAAAAAGGTATGTTTATCCATGACCTCAACAAAATGATCAAACGGTATGAAGATTTCTATACTAGGCTCTTTAACACCAGAAAACCACAAGACACCATCCCACATGTCAGCAAAGACATGACACACCTCCCGCCAGATATTCTTCTGTCAAAGGTGAGAGATGCCATAAAGCGCCATAAGCCCGACAAGGCCCCGAGCGAAGGCATCACCGATAAAATTCTGCAGGCCGGCGGGGTGCCCATCGTCAAGATGCACAACAAGCTGTCCAACAGAACTCTGTGTGAGAGCAAAGTACCAACCAGCTGGAATAACGCAGTTGTAGTCCTTCTGTACAAGAGAGTA